GGAGGGAGGGAAGGGACGCCCGGACAGAGGGACAGGGCAGGGGAAGGTCTGGGGGGGTCCCCAAAAGTCCCCCCCCGGGACAGACGGACGGATCCCCCCGGGACAGACGGACGGAGCCCCCCGGGACAGACGGACGGAGCCCCCGGGGGTCCCGCGGGCGGTACCTGCGGGCGCTGATGAGGAGGCGGCAGCCGCCGGGGTCTCCCGTGTCCCCCGTGGGGTCCCCGAGGTGCATCCGGAGCGTCACCCCCCGGAACGAGGGGTCCCGGGGGTCCGCCCCGCGCTGCGGGAACCCCTGTTTGCGGCGCCGACCGGGGCCGTTACTGGTCCCAGTGTGGATCCCGGTGTCGTTACTGGTCCCGGTGCCAATCCCAGTGTCGATCCCGGCGCCGTTACTGGTCCCAGGGCTGATCCCACTGCCTGTCCCAGTCCCGTTACTGGTCCCGGGGCTGATCCCGGTGCCGGTCCCAGTGCTGATCCCGATCCTGGTGTCGATCCCCGTGTTGATCCCGATTCCGGTGTTAGTCCCGGTGCCAATCCTGGTGTGGATCCCGATCCCGATGCTGATCCCGGTGTGGATTCCGGTGTTGATCCCGATCCCGGGGTTGATTCCAGTCCCGATCCCGGGGTTGATCCCGATCCCGGTGTTGATCCCGGTCCCGGTGTTGATCCCGATCCCACCGTCCAGGTGCCGGCACTGGAGGCTGATGAGACTCAGCGGGTCGGGGGTCCCGGTGGTTGGCGGGGGGACCCCCGGGGTGTCGGGGGGTGCGGCGGGAGCGGCCGGGGGGGGCTCGGGGGGGCTCAGCAGCCGCACCGACTCCTGCAGGAACGTGAGACCCTCCCCCGGGGGGCTCCGGGGCCGCGGGGGGGGGCTCCGGGACCCCCGCCCTGACCGGGGGACGCCGTTAGGGAACGGGGGGGAGGTGGGGACACCCCCCCTCCTTCCTGGGGCCATCCCGGGGGTCCCGGTTCCTTCCCGGTGGGACTAATCCCGGTTATCCCGGTCCTTCCCCCCGCTGCTCCCAGTTCCCTCCCGGTCGGACCATTCCCGGTTCTCCCGGTTCCCGGGACAGGAGCAGGGGCCCGGTACTCCCCGTTCCCTCCCCGGTGGGACCACCCCGTGTCCCTGGCCCCCCAATTCCAACCCCCTGTCCCGGGACCCCCAATTCCCCCCCCCCGGTGGGACCCCCCCCGTTTCCCCCGTTCCCGGTTCCCACCTGGGGGGGTCTCGGGGGGTCACGGCCCCCCCCGGGCCGGGGGTCGGCGGGAGGAGCGCGGGGGGGTCGCAGGGCTCGGGCTCGAGGCAGAGCAGGCGCTGGAGCAGCGAGAAGTCGGGGGGCTGCCCCTCGAGGAACAGCGGCTGCTCCCCCATCCCGACCCCCGGGATCGGGATCGGCCCCGGGAACGGGATCGGCCCCGGGAACGGCCCTTAACCCGCCCCAGCTGCAGGGGGGGGGGCGGGGGAGGGACCCCCGGGGCGGGGCAGCGACACAGGTGGGTCTGAGACCCCCCAAATGGGGACAGGACCCCTCCCAGAGTGGGGCTGGGACCCCCCAAAGACAAGGCAGGGACCCCCAGAGTGGGACAGGGACCCCCCAAGGACAGAGAGGGACCCTCCACCCCCCCAAAACGCCCCCAAGCACCAGCTCAGACAAAAAAATCCTTTATTAACCCAGAACGTTCCTTATCCCAAATCCAGAGCCCTGGGAATTGGGGGGGTGGATTCATCCTTTGGGGGGGGGGGTTTCACCCTCCTGGGAGGAGTGTCCATCCTTCTGGGGGT